ACTCCTCAAGGAAAGTGAGGTATGCGTAACACTATCAGTAGCAAAGCTCAGGAGCACACAGTGATGGGTAAGTAATGAAAACAATGTTATGCTCAAGAGAAAAGTCTCTATATGTTCTAGTGAACTGAAGGACTTCCACAAGTACAACATATCTGGGAAACACATATGTACACGTGTGTACTTTTATGGGGAATGGGAAAGGGCACAGAGAAGGAAAAGGACATATAGAAGCCACTCAACCCTACCACTAACTATATCATAACTGTTGTAAAGAGAAATAACTAAGGAAGCAGGTGAGAAGTAAAATAACGAGAAGACAAGGAAGTAGTGAAGGCCTTAGGTGGGATCGGAAAGCGTCTTCTTTAAATATTTGAGGCAGCAAAACACTCTGTAAAATGAGGACAGAACGTGTTGGCCTAAAGAATATTGTCATTTTGGTAAAAAACAATAGAACATTGGGGGAGGGAGGAGGGCCTGGAGTCACCTCAAGAATGACATAGGTAATTAGCATTCTGAGCATACATATTCCATGTATTCCATGTAGCATTTTGTTATAGGTCTTTTTTTTCCCCCCTTAACATTTCCCACCAAAATATCACAAACAAAAGTGGAGCAAATTAACTGTCTAGTAGCAAAGTAATGTACTAAAAATATCTTTAAGGTGGGAAAGGTCTCTGTCGTTGAGCCTACTTTAATATGTTTTAGCTTCACCTATTCTGCTTCTTCACATGCACCCAACTCCCCTTCACTACTAGTTACATAGAAGCCTATTCACATAATTCACTAAGTAATAATGTAACTGTTGGTTTGTGCTTAATGTATTTTGTGAACTTACTCCAGTTTTCCCCAACCTAGACACTCTCCAGATAGATGGACTACCTCCTAGAAATTTCAGCAAGGGTGGGAAAGTTTATATACATGGAGGACCTTCACGCTGGAAAGGCTGACCTAGCAACTATGGCTTATAAATCATAGTTTATGGCTTGGTTTGCTATGCAAATTCATTGTGCTTAATTTGACTAAGTCAAACAAACTAGGGCTGCCAATTCACTTCCACATAACTTTAACAAAGAGTGGGAATTTAAGAGCTCATCCTTTTTTTTTTTTTTTTTACAGTGTGGGCATCTAAAACGGTGTATCTCATTCTTTATTGCACCCAATATAATGGAGGGCAGGAAAACTGTGCCACCACTTGGACATTGTTGAACAACAGTTCCAAATATCCATAATCACTGGCCATGGGGGCTGGTTGGATGGGAACTGAAATTCAACAAAATCTGGAAGTTAAAAAAAACAAAAACAAAGCTTTTGACACCTTAAAGCTAACAAATTTCTTACTGCATAAGCCAAGAGTCAACAAGGGACAGATGCAATTCCATATGACTGTACACAAGGACACGGAAGCCAAATTTCTATGGGGGGGGTAATTTGCATTTTAATACAAAAATTATAGAAATGGTAAAATCTTGTGAGATTTCACCTGTTTTGCCTCAAAGATTTAATGCCATTTCACATGAGAACACTAAATGCCCAAAATTTTGCCCATCTAATTTTAAAAAGATATTTTAAAGGAAAAATTGGGGGTTCTACAGATACAGTGGAACCTCGATTTACGAACTTAATTCGTTCCTTGACTCTGGTCGCACCCCGAATTGGTCACAACCCGAAGCAAATTTCCCCATAAGCTTCAATGTAATTACCGTTAATCCGTTCTGACGTGGAGGACAGGGAGGCGACTATTGCTTGGA